TGGTGAAGCAAGGGCTGAGAGCTGACTGGGTTGGTATTCACAGGCATCGCATGGAAACCTAGGTTCAGTCTATCCACAGTGGGTATCTAGAGTCAGGCAGAATCCTCTGACTACAGTCTATGGGATCTGAGGCACCAGACCTACCCTATACCAAAGAACATATCTGTAGAAAACATACTCTATTTCTTTCTGAACAGAGCCCTACGGTCTATTTAGTAAAAATCTGGGTTTAGATTACCCTCTAGCATTGAAACGGGACAACTCACCCACAGTCCACCTCTGGGAAAATCTGGACTTGAGCACCATCTAGTGTTGAAATGGTGGGAATGACCACAGGCTCAGAAAAAAAAAAAAAAAGAAAACCTGCTTAGAATCTCTGGAGATGGGTGAGGGGTGTCAAATTAGGAAATGAAAAAGATAGCAGGCTCTTTAATGCCTTGATGATGCCACACAGTACAAGCAACAGCAACTGTCATGAAACCGTGTACACGTCCAACTCAAAATGAAATGCCAGAAACTGACTAGGAAGTAACCAGACAGGGAGTTCTCAGGTGAAGAATTTAAAGAAACTCAATACTCTCGTAATCTTAATGGAAACACAAGGAAATGGCTTAACAGCCTAACAGAAAAATTTAAAAGACACAGGAACTATTTTTGAAAGTTGAAATCCTGGAGCTGAAAATTAACTCAGGAAAAAACTTTTAAATGCTGTACAGGAGGTATCAGTAACAGGATAGAGCAAACAGAAGAAAGAATTAATATGCTTGAAAACATCTACTTGAAAATATTCAGGTGATGGGCTAATAATAAAGTATGAAGCATTGATAAAAGAAACTAGACAGGATACAGAAAGCAGAGATATCCTGTGCCCATAGAATTTCTAAAAAAATTATTAAAATGCCCACAGCACTGAAAGTTTCAGAATAAAAAAAATATGAGCATTATTTTAATTGGGGATTGAGAGCACTTGTTGCCCTTGCAGAGGACCTATGTTCGGTTCCCAGCATCCAGATGGTGGCTCATATCCATCTGTAACTCCAGTTCCAGGGGATCTAATACCTTCCTCTGACCTCATGGGCACCAGTCACACAGATGGTATGTGTACATACCACCAGGCAAAACATTCATACACAGAAAATAAAATAAATAGAACTAAAAAATTTAAAGAAACTATACAATTGAATGAGAAAGAAGTTTCAGGAATGAAAAGAAATGAAGGTTTATGGAATTTTAATATAGTGCTTTAAAAAGCAAACATTTGGGTTTCTACAGCTTAAGAAGGAACTGAGGACGCCATAAAGCTTAACAAACATAGAGAAGGATTTGAAATTCCTGGTACAGGAAAGCGAACAGGACCACGCAGATTTAACTCATGTCTGCCACATGGTAACTTACTGCCAAGGCAAAAGGCAGCCAAGCTGTCACAGGAAAGAGAGAATATTCTGAAGGTAGAAAAAGAAAAGAAATTGCTAACACATAAAGATGCCCACTTCGTGTGAACAAAACAATTGTCTCACAAGGTTGTTATAAAGACTAAATGAGTTAATATGAGTAAAGTACTTGCTGGCATAGTTTATAGCTACTTTACTTGGGTTCTTATAACTTTACCTCCCTTCCAAGCTCCCGACACTAGGTATAAGAGAAAGGTTAGAGGGGAAAGGGGCCATAGACCTCTTCAGACTTAGTTCCATAGGGCAAGCCCAATCTTCGCAGTCAGAATATCCAACAGTCCAGCAAACCAGCAAGCACCAAACAGGAGCAGGGTGAACTAGCAGCAGCAGCAGGGGCGGCAGCAGGGAGAGCGGCCGCCTTCTTCCTTGAGTCTGATTCCAGATCTCTTTCTTTTAACTTCTTTGAAATGGAGATATGACTTGTTATACAAAAAGGATCAAACATTTAAGTGTTAGGTCACTTCAATCCAGTCTGACTGCCTCCATCAGTCCACCAACTCTGAGGTATCTGTACCTACTCATCAGCAACTTCCTTGTTGTTCTACTTGCAGAAACTAAGAGATGTGGAACAGTGGACAGAAGATTAAAGTGCTAGGAACTCGGTAGATTCTGATGGGAAAGAAAACTTCGGGAGAAGCCGAGACAATGATTTTGATTCCTTCTCTACATAAACTGCCATAATTCCCTTGGCACAGAAGACAAAGCACCACTTCTCTGACGTGACCTATGGGTCCACCTCCATTATCTGATTCCATCTTTACAAAGGCTTCCCTGTACGCATTATCTCATGCATGCTTTACCGTAGCCGCTTGAGACACTTATTCTCAGCTTATAGGGAAAGCCGCTGCATTGCAAGGGAAGACATCCCCACCCAAAGTCAGAGTGGAGCAAGGATTTCATTGCTGGAATCCAGTCCCGACTCCCACGTCTCATTCCATCAGCCACGTGTCACAGCCATGAATGAACACTTGGAATGAGGATGGCAAGGCCCACTTTTAGGAATGCTCAAATGATCTGGGGTAAAACTGAATTTCTTTCAGTAGGAAACAGGTGACATATAGGTTTCTGTGTGTGAACTTTATAATATTGTGATATGTCGGGCAAGGATTACTAATAATTGAACCATCCATATTTATATGAAGCATATACTCACGGTTACATAATACACCAAAGCAGGTATAAGTAGAATTAGCTGCTGTTTTGGACCCAGGGCACTCTTCCTTTTTTAGCAAAATGGGGACTTAAGAGCAAACTTTTGTAACGTGGTATCTCTTATTTGGGGGCAGGGGTGTTTCTTTCAATAAGAGAAAATCTGGATTCAAAGAAATAAAATCTCACCTATACGTCTCCATATGCCCTTTCACCTACTTGTTTAAGTGAGCAACTCTGTTTCAGTGTTATCTATGGTTATCGTTTTTAGCCTATCTGATGTCTGGTCCCTCAGCGGCTCTGCCACATCAGACACACAGCCACTATCCTCAAGTCTCCCATGCTCAGTTAGCTGCCCAGCACTTTCCCAAAGGTTGAGTCACATGCTATGATTAAGTCATTCCTGTCTCAGAAATAGCTCGCCCACACCTGCTTGTGACAGTATAGGAGGCAGTGGAGCTCACTGGAGAGTTCCTTCTTCCCCTTCCAGAAAGGGACAAATTCAGATCTTCCCTTCTTGGCAAAGCTAGAAAGCATTGGCAGGCCTGGTTTTGTATGTGGTGTCTTCTATACAGAATCTCTATTCTACCCTCAAAATTGCTTGCTTTTGGTGCTGGTAAGATGGCTTCTTAGTTAAGAGCATATACTGCTCTTGCAGAAGACCTGAGTATAGTTCCTCTCAAGAGTGGCTCAAAGCTGCCTATAATTCCAGCTCCCAGTGATCCAACACCCTCTTTTGGCCTCCAGTAACACCTACATTTAAGTACACACACACACACAGCTATACACTAATATAAATTAAATCTTTTCTTTTATTCATTATTTATAAAGTATTCTACCTGCATGTGTGTGCCCACATCCCAGGAGAGGGCACTAGATTTAATTATAGATGGTTATGAGCCACCGTGTGGTTGCTGGGAATTAAACTCAGGACCTTTGGAGGTACAGCCAGTTCTCTTAACCTCTAAGCCATCTCTCCAGCCCCAAATTAAATCTTTTTTTTTTAAAAAAAAAAAAACAAAACAAAACATTATTTGTAGTTCAACTTCATCTTCTACACATATCAGAAGTCCTAGAGGAACATTTTGTCTGTTATTCTACGTTTGACATTAGCAGTATCTGTATTTGTTTGTTTAAGTGTGCTGGATACTATGTGCAGTGTCCTTAAATAAAACTGTCCCAAACCGGCTGGACAGGAAAGAGCTCAGCCAGCCTCTTAGAACTCTGGACTTCTCTATGTCCTCCTAGCCCTTCTACTTGGAAGCAGACTAACCGAGAGCGTGAACCGTGCAGATGTTCAGAGGGAAGCAGGTCCCACAGGAAAATAGCAGGCCCCAGCATGCTAAAGCTCTCCCCCCCCCCGCACCATCCCCTGACACCTGCCTGGGGGTGTGGGACAAGAAGAGCTACCCAAGCAAGGCCAGGTGGAAAAAGTTTCAGATAGTTTATTTATTGACCATCATAACTGCTTCAGAGGTAACTTTGCTGCAAACGCGGGGGGTGGGGGAAGGAAGGGGAGGGCAGATATGATCCCTGGGATGGATTAATGATATGGTCAAACAACAGGGTTTTAGAACTCAGGGGACCTGTTCTGCCAGCTACTTATAGGAGAGAAAATGCCCCTCTCTGGGGCTATTCCTCTAGTTAAAACTGGAATGGTAATACCTCCTCTTCCAGACTATGAACGTTAAAGTCCTTGAGACAGCGTGTGGCTTGGAATGAGCAATGTGGAGGTACATGTATGTGGAAGGGTATGGATAATACGGTGAACCGCACATTCCACAGTAGTACAGTCCTGACTGTCACCTATCAGCTTTATACTCTTCTGCACACTATTTACCTTCTTCAAGCCTCGGTTTCCTTCTCTATCAAATAAGAGCGAACTCCTAGAACTTACTGTAGAGATTAAATAAAATTAAGTAGGTAGTATATAAAAATCACTAAGCAATGGTATATGAGACCATCCATGCCATGTTCAATAAACGTTTGCCATCATTACTATTTATTCTTTCAAAAAATGCTTATAAAATGTATAAATTCACAGTATTTAACTGGTCTACAGTCTTCATTTTTGTTTGCTTATTCTGTTTGTTAATACAAAAAATGAGACAAGAAATGGGATAAAAATCTACCTTATCAAAAGAACCATCAGAATTTGAAGTTATTCTTGATTTCAAAAATAATTTTGGGGGCTGGAGCGATAGCTCTGTAGTTAAGAACACTAGCTGCTCTTTCAGAGGACGAAGGTTCAATTCCCTGCACCCCCATGGCAGCTCACAACTGTCTGTAAATCATTTTAACCAACCATTATTATATGAATTATACAAATATTTTCATTGAACCTTAGTGGAAATCCTGTAAAAATAGATCTCTTTTATCTTAATACGTAGAGCTACTTACTTCTATATTTGGTAGGGTTATTGTCACCTGTTCACCTTTGCCAACCTCAAGACTTCCTTCACAAGAAGTATCAATAGAAGCAGGTTTGAAGTCATCTAAAAATAGATACAAATACCAATTTTTATAAGATAGAACAATGTATTACTTTTGACTGCCACAGATACTGACAGAAGCAATTAAAAGAGGATTATTTTAGTTCACTGATGTTTTTGCTTTTGTTTATTTTAATTATTTTTATTTTATGTGTTTGAATGTTTTGCTTCCATGTATGTATGTGTACCTGTGTGCAGGAGCCCAAGGAGGCCAGAAGAGGGCAGTGGATCCTCTGGTTTGGAGTTAGATATAATTGTTAGTTGCCATGTGGGTACTGGGAATGACACTCAGGTCCCTTGGAAGAGCAGCAAGTGTTCTTAAATGCTGAGAGTCTCTTGGGTCAGTGTTAAAGAGTACAATCCATCATGGCAGGGAAAGGATGTCAAAGTTCACACTAGTCAAAGAGCCTTAACTATAATTAAATCCTATTTTAAATTAATGTAATTTCTGATATTTACTCACATTAAGCTTTACTACTACTTTTGGTGGGTCGGCCCACTTGAATAGAAGACAACCTTTCTGTAGTCACTATCTCTCAGAGCATTTTGTGGCAATAATAAATGGTGTCACTGAAAACAGGAAATGTACTGACTATTAGCTCTTACATAGATGTAAAATACAATGCTGGTGGTAGCCCAAATCCAAAATTAATTCTAATGAGTTATTCAGACTCTATGTAGTGAATCTATGTTGCTAAATGTTGTCATTGTTACAATTAAGTAAGTTACATGCATTAGTGCTCCTCATATATCTATGAATATAACTCATAAAACTATTATTTATTCTTTTCCATGTTCTAAATAATGTGCTAGGTTTTTATGTTGCCACAAATCCTCTAGAAAAGAATGCAAAAGGTAGGTATTAGCATTTTCATATATGAATACTGTGGCTGAAAGCTTGGAGAATGTTCTCCAAGTCACATTAGTACATACTTGGAGAAGGTCGGTGTTCACAGCCAGGCTTATCTGAAGCATTAGTATAAAAGAGAGGCAAAATTTACCCTGCATATGAGACAAAATAATAATTTCTTTCAAAGAACATTGGTTTGAGTGTTGGTTATAAATTAGGTTCATCTGCTCCTCGAAAATGCCCAATTCTCTATTGTATAGTTTCCATTCCTCACTGAGTTAGTAAGACTAAAGGTCACACAGGAAATGAACCTGTTCTCATGATACTGGCAAGTTTTGTTTAAATAAATCTAAAAAGGTTGTGTGATAGTATACTTACTTCAACAAAGAAAGGAAAAAAAGACTGAAAACATTTTTAATGTGTTCTGCAGGACTGTGTGCAATCTAAGTTTGTTTACTCTGTGCTTGTTATTATTATTATTATTATTATTACCTTTTTGCACATTCTTGCTTATTGTCCTTCTTGCGGCTGGATTTGACTCTGATTGGGAAAATATGCTTTCAACACTTTAAGAAATTTTGTAAAACTGAGGATGCAGCTCAGTGAAAGAGCACTTGCCTAGTATGAAAGGGCCCTGAGTTTGACTTCTGACACTGTATTAATCAATCAAGTAATCTATAAATAAAAGTCTTTAAAACACGTGCAAGGCACTTTTAGAAAGCTGTATTTCATTCATTTAATTTTGGATTTGTATCTGCAAGAAGAGAATGCACACCTAAATTATAAAAATATATACATCAAGGGACTGGAGAGATGGCTCAGCAGTTACAAGCACTTGCTGTTCTTGCAGAGAACTTGGGCCATTCTCAGCTCCAACATCAGGTTGCTGATGACCACATCACAGGAGATTTGAGGCTCCCTTGTGGCTTTTGAGGGCACCTGCACACTAAGATGTATATAGGTACACTCAGGCCCACATGTAGCCATGTAAAATTTAAAAATATGTATGTATCTCCATATGACATTTTTGCAAATTTAAACCTTGTAGCTTGAAAACCAAATATTCCTGCATACTGAGAAGGAAGAGGAAAAAGACATGCTACTTGGGAAAAGGGCACTGAGAGATCAAATAAGAACAGTATCTTGCTTTTTGAAAGCAAGGGAGAGAAATTGCAAGGTTTGCACAGCACTCACTGTTTCATTGTGGGGAACTCTGGATGGTAATCCAAAGCAAAACAAATAAGGGACAACATCGGAGTTCTGTTGGTAAATCTCTTTCATTTATTCTACCAAAACAGGCTATTTTTGATTAATAAAGCAAAAAAAATTATTAAGCAAAAATATCCTGTTAAAAGTTTGATAAAATAAGCTTTTTATAAAGTTTAAATCTATCAATGGAATGTTAAAACCATCGGTTCTTCCTGCATTTACTGAGTTATTATAACTAGATTGTCTACAGCCTGCACTTTGATGACTGAGTTTTAATTGGGTGGTTTTAGAATATAAAGTATATAAGAAAAAGGACAGAATGATTGAGGAATGAAGAAAAAAGAGACAGTAAAGAAGAGCTGGGCTGGAGAAAATATGTGAAAAAAATCTGCTTTACAATTTATCACACACACACACACACACACACGCGCGCGCACGCACATCCACACAACAGAGGTCACGACTCAGTGCCGTTTCCTTTATGCTTTAGAATTCTCAGGTCTATTATGCAAAAAAGAAGTTTCACATACAAAATCAAGTTATATTTTTCGTACTGGCATCTATATCACTTATTTTTCTACGAAAAATAAGGCGAAAAGGACCATTATAACCTCTTCCAACAATATTAAAGAAAACTTATTAAAATAAATTCCAGAGAGCAAAAAGAAAACCAAAGGGTTGAAATCATTGTGAGGTAAAAACAACAACAACAACAACAACAAAAAAAAAAACCAAACAAACCTTAAAGAAATTTAAAAAAAATAGAACTTTCAGTTTTCGACACTTGGTAATTACTTAGCTGACCATTAAGTCTGAAACCCGAAAGTGATACAGACTATTGGGGTAGCTGACAGCCTCTTCCACGAATACCTAAACGAGAACCCTCACCCACCAGAGGGAGGACAAGTGAAAACGGGGAAGAGAGGACCCTGTGGGCTCTCAGCATCACTTTTGCCCTGCGTCCGGCCGTCCTTTGTCCCATCTGTCACCTTTCCACGTCCGCCCCCTCCGCTTGTCGCGCGGGTCTCCCCAGCCACCCCAGCGGATCCGCGCCACAGAACTTCCCCTCCCGCCTGTCAGTCCCTCTCACACCCTCGCAGGCTTCTCCAGCAGCGGCGGGACGCCGGGGGTCGGCACCGAGGCCGGGGGACAGGACGGTGGAGCACGCTGCCCCGGGTCTCCCGGAGAGCGAAGGGGCGAGGGGACAGAACTCCAGAACTCCGAGGAGCCCTTCTCCGCGCCACCCCTCCCATCCCAAGAGGTACCCCGGACCGTCCGCACTCACAGCGCACGGTGTGGAACGCGCAGCGCGGCTGCTTCTCGAAACTTTCTCCTAATCGGAGGACCCGCTCGCGACGGTCCAGGTTCGCGAGTCCGGCCGGTCCATTCATCCCCGTCGTCCGCCGCCGCAGCCTTCTGGACCGGCTGCAGAGGCTGCTAGCCTGAGCTCCGGGCGGGCCGGGCCGGTCTAGATGCGTGTCCCCGCCCCCTGGAGCTACCTCAGTCCTGATTGGCCGTCTGGAGACAGTCGCCACGCCTCCTCGCCTGAAGCCCCTCCCCTGCCCTGCCCCGCCCCCGCCCCTTAGACCCCCTTCCCGCGTCGCGACGCACGCAGCTTGGCGAACGCAGCCGCGCCGAGGTGCACGGTGCGGGTCGGGCCCTGAGGTGGACGGACGCGGGCCGGGGATGAGGTAACAGGCCTGAGATGGCGGTTGGGGTGGGCGAAGGCCCCGGGGGCCCGGGGAAGCTGGGAAGCAGGGCCCCGAAGCCTCGGGCACCGGCGTGGCGGGGCCTGCTAACGCGAGCGTGGGCCTCCTTGGCGCCCGGCCCGCAGGTTTGCTGTGGAAACGGACGCCTGAGGGGAGGAGGCGGCTGGGCCCAGGCCTCTGGCTCCCTGAGGTCTCGATGCCCCCGAGGCGGGTTCTGGAACCCCAACCGCGCCCCCTCAGGTGCCGTGACCGGACTGGAAGCCTCCGAAGGCGACGCAGTTACCTTCGATGGCGGCTTTTAAACCTTTAACCGCAGGCCTCTCCCCGCCTGCGTTTGGACCTGAGGAAGGGGGCGTTTCCGGCGGGGGGGAGGGGGCCTTGGAGTTTAGGATTAGGAGTAACTGACTGCTTTAGGCTTCTGGCGTTCGTTTCCACCCTAGTTGATTCCTGGAGTCCGTGAAGGGCACGGCCTGGAACTCTTTGATTCCGCGAGGATCAGTCTAGCAACAAGGTGAGCACATTCATTGATAAGTCATTGTCTCCCCCGCCCCCCACCCTAGACACCTCAGGGGAGCATTTTAAAGTGGGAGAAAGCGGCTATTGTATTAGAGGAGAATTCAGAGAAAATTTACAATGAGTTGCTCCGACGGGTGGTTTTTCAGGCTAATTGTGTGACCACACTGTCTCCTCCACTATAAAACCTTAAGCAGATTTGTCAATTTATTTTTCTAGGTGGGTGATTTTGTTTGCCTTCTACCCTTTAAAAGTGCGTGGACACTGTTTTATGTGATGTTTATGCACGAAGGTTCTGGAACCAGGATCTCCGGGTTTGGACTCCAGCTTCATACTGTCAATGCGAATTTTTTTTTTTTTTTTTTTTTTGCAAGCAAAATTTAACAAATGTGTTTATTATTAGAATTGGGGAAATAATGATGATATCTATGTAAAAAGTAATACTCATCCCTTAGAATTGTTGAGATGGTTAAATCAGTTAATACGTGTAGGGAAGTAGAACAATTTGTAATACACACAGCTCTCTGAATGATTATTTAGAGTCCAGCTATACTTTAATATTTTAAGGCATCATTGGTGACTGCCTTTTAAATTCTAAATTCTAGGGACTAGGAATGGCTGCTCTGTTCACAGATGAAAATATTGGTTTAGAAAAGTGCAGGCCGTTGGTTTTATGGCTAATGTCTAGGAGATTGTTCTATGGGACAAATGAGTGCATACGTACTTGGCACATTTATTTTTGTTGCCATATTGGATAAAAGAACTTGCAACCTGAATGACCTTCAGTAAAGGGAATGTTTAAAAATATTTTGATGCACCCTTACAAAGAACAGATAGAATAATGTAGACTAGAAAGAATAAGGAAATTAACATGCATTCTGTAGGAACGTTTTGCGTCTTCTACATGCTAGGAATTTTATTGATCTTTCTTTAAAATAGCTTTAGTGAACTTGTCTATTAAAGATTCATATTTTACTCAAGAAGAGGGTCTCACTATGTACTTCTGATTGTCCTGGGACTTACTATACAGAGGCTGGCCTCAAATGCACAAAGATCCACCTGCCTCTGCTTCCCAAGTGCTGGGATTAAAAGGAATGTGCCACTGTATCCAGCAAAATTGTCTGTCTGTCTTTCTTTTTTGAGACAGGGTTTCTCTGTGTTGCCTTGGCTGTCCTGGACTTACTTTATAGAACAGACCAGACCAGACCAGGCTGGCATCGAACTCAGAGAGATCTGCCTGTCTCTCTGTCTCCCTGAGTCCTGGAATTAAAGGCGTGTGCCACCTATCCCAGCAAGTTTTATTTTTCTTAACTACACACTGGAATCTTGATTATGGGCACTACTTCATAGTCCTATTGTGAGGATAAAATAATTCATTAAAACCCACTTAGCACATTTTTAGCTCATAATAAATACTATGTTATCAGTTTATTAAGTAAAAGTGTTTTATATTAAATGATACTTTGAGCTTCAGATACTTATGGCTTATATAGAAAAGGTTTGGTAAGAAAATTGAGATGTGGACTTTTTAAATTTTAGAAATTGTTTCATTATAAATAATTTTTAATTTTGTTATAGTTACATAACATTTTTGAGGCCTACTATGTTAGAGCTTTCCAAACCATCTCCACATTCAGTGATTAGGGAGAAGAGCTCACAGAACTCAACACATATATTGCCTTAGTTGCCGCTATAATTTATAATGAAGATTTTAAAGTCATCAAAGGGAAAGTCATGTAGGGTATATCCAAAGGAAACCAGGCACAGTCTTCCAAGATCCTCTCCCAGTGGAATTATGGAACAGAAATAATTTCTCAATAGTAGTGAATAGTAGTGACTGCATCTGTGAAGTGTCTTCTACTAGGGAAGCTTATTAGATTCCCAGTGACCAGAAATTTTATTGGTTTGTGTTGAAAAATTGGTCCTTTATGGCAATGAATGATAAAAGCCGGTAGAACCTTGAAGAGGGGAGGCCTAGTGGGAAACATTGGGTTGACCACCTTTAAAAGAATTGATACAATTTTTGTAATTTTGATAATCCTTAAGAGAAGACTATTATAAAAAAGTAATACTCCTCCTTAGTCTTTCTTGGGTATCTTGTGGTATATGATATCTTCCACTCATGCTTTGATACTGTCTGTCATATGACAGAGCCAAGACAGCTCTCACCAGAGCTAAGCCAGTGTCCTAACATAAGTTCCTTGAACTTCTAGAACTGAGTCATATAACTCTTTATAAACTACTTGGCCTCAGGTATTTCACTAAGTATTGAAATTCAGACAAAGCATATCTCAGAATTCTCAGACTCTAAAAGGAAAGCATATGTTTGCCACAAATCATTATTTTTAAAACAGTTTAGGTACAGTGACCCAGGCTTATAATAGAACAATAAAAATCCTCCTCAAATTCACATTCTGAATACTAGCCAGGGGCCAGCCTTGTAAGTTGACCTTTGACGAAATAGCTTTATTAAGACTTCCATATCAACTTATACAATCTGTTTCTCCTATATGAATTCTGTTTTAGAATTATTGTGTAGAGAGTAAATGTAATGCTAATACAATTTCTGAGTACATTTGACTTTTTTTTTAACTGTTTAAACATAGGTGGTAGAGAAAAATGAAGCCAACAGGTACAGACCCAAGGATCTTGTCTTTAGCTGCTGAAGTAGCAAAAAGTCCTGAACAAAATGTTCCTGTTATATTGTTGAAGTTAAAAGGTAAGAAAATACTTTCACAGTTAGGAAAGACATTAAGTAAATATTGGTTCTATCATGATACAGTGTTAGTATTCTGATTTGTTTAGAGAAATCTTAACAGTGTGGAATAGCATTTTTCTTTTTGCCATATTTTTAATGATCATAGTATATAAATACAATTATCTTTTAGATATGTTGAACAAGTCTATCTCATTTTCTTTTTCCTTAGAAATAATAAACAACACCCCTTTGGGAAGCTCAGAGTTGAAGAAAGTCAAACAAGATATATATTGTTATGATCTCATTCAGTATTGTCTATTAGTTCTCAGTCAAGATTGTTCTCGAATCCAGGGTGGTTGGGCTACAATTTCCCAGCTTACACAGATACTAAGGTAAAATGAAACAAATAGGTTAGTTTGTTCTAATTTTCAATAATGTTTATTTGTCATTCTAATAAGAATTGGAATCTCATGGTATGTTTGGTTGTACTTTTCTTTCACATTGTATGCTATTGTTGTAACTCTAGTTATAATTGATTATCTTAATATTTCTTTGCACAATAATCATGTTTTTTATTTATCACTTGAGTCCCAATTAGCTAATATATTCTTTATTAACTCAGAAATATTTGAAGAATAAATTAACAACTTTGTACTTGAAAAACTAATGGTAGAGAATTGAATAGCCATGACATTTGATATAAATGCAATGAATTAGGAGCCAAAATGAAAGTGTATAGCAAAGTACTATAAAAGAATAAGTATAGAAACTTCAGTCACTTTGTAGTGATATAGCTATTTAAACTGTATATTTATCAGGTAGCCCAAATCTTGTCATGAAATTTAGAAGCAGCATTTACTTTTCTACTTCCGTGTTAAAAATTGAAAGATCAAAATTATTTTTTAAAAGAAGATGCTAAATGATAGTGTTCTCAGTGCCTGAGGTAATCTTACATTCCCATTTGATTTTAAGAAATTTGTTATTTTTTAATTATGTCTATATGTGGGTGTCTGTGTATGGGTATGTGCACATGAATACAGGTACCCACAGAGGCCTGTGGATATCTGGGATTTGAGCTCTTGTATTTTTTAAGATCAGCAAGTGCTCTTAACTAACAGCAATCTCCCTAGCCCCATCCTATTTGATTTTAAATAAACTATCCTCACGGGAGAGATACCTTTTATATGTATAATATTCTGACTTAGATCCTAACTTTCTAAACTGCTTAATTCTACTCTGTTATTACATACAGGCCTAATTCAAAGTATACAGTTACAAAAAAAGTTAACAAATTTATGTAATACTCTTTTATGTTTTAATTTTCAATATTTAATATTACTTCATTTTCAATAATGATTGAACATAAGTAAGTGCTTATATTTTTGTTTTGATCAGATATGCTAGCTCATGACAATATTGGTTGAATATAATTTCTTTTATTAATGCTGTCTGTCATATAGACATGCTGAGTAATTAAATTTAAGAACTAAAAGGAAATA